GTCAAGGATATTTATAGAGGTCTAAATACAGGTGTGTACATATGTATGTATTTATATATAATGATAGTAAAATAGACCTATGTACATATATTTATGTTAAGTATTAAGGTAGCAGATGGACATTGAGTCTCAACGCAAGTACTCCCTCAGTGCAAGAACACTTTGTTCCAATAACCCCAACATTCTATTATGCTGACTTTCCCAACATGATCTCTATTATGCTGACTTTCCCAACATGATCGATGAAGACAAAATGGATGCATAAGGAAATGTGGTGAAGAAAGCTGATGGTGCCCGGCTATCAAGAGAGATCGTGTGTGGGGTTTTAAAGGCATGAAGAGAAACAGTCATCTAGCTGAGAAGCAAAGTCCACATGGAAAAAGCACACCAGCCTGTGTGATCATGAGGTGTCGATGAGATCAGGTATCAGGCATCAAAGACCCAGAACAAAAAAATCATATGGATATGAATGAGGGGGAGTGCGGAGTGGAGACCCAAAGCCCATCTGTACACTATTGGACATCCCCTCACCGAGGGACACAAGGAAGAGATGAGCCAGTCAGGGTGCACTATAGCACCAACAAAACACAGCTTTCCTCTAGTTCAGCGGTTCTCAACCTGTAGGTCTCGACCCCTTTGGGGGTTGAATGACCATTTGACAGGGGACGCCCGATTCATAACAATAGCAAAGTTACAGTTGTGAAGTAGCAACGAAAATAATTTTATGGTTGGGGGGTCACCACAACATGAGAAAGTGTATTAAAGGGTCACGGCACTAGAAAGCTTGGGAACCACTGCTCTAGTTCTTTAATACCCTCCTCCCCCCCACTATCATGACCCAAATTCTACCTTACAAATCTGGCTAGACCAGAGCATGTACACTGATACAGATAAGCTCTCAGCACAGGGAATCCAGGACAGATAACCCCCTCAGGACCAATAATGAGAGTAGCAATACCAAGAGGGGCAGGGGAAAGGGGGTGGGTGGGTAACCGATCACAATGATCAACATAGAACCCCCTCCCAGGGGGACGAACAACAGAAAAATGGATGAAGGGAGACAGTGGCCAGTGTAAGACATGAAAAAAATAATTAAATAAATAACTTATAAATTATCAAGGGTTCATCAAAGGGGGGGAGATAAGCTGATACCAAGGGCTAAAGTAGAAAGAAAATGCTTTGAAAATGATGATGGCAACATATCTACAAATGTGCCTAACACAATGGATGGATGGATGGATTGTGATAAAAGTTATGAGTCCCCATAAAAAGATTAGAAAAAAAGAAAAGAAAATAGTTTTTGTCTAAAAAGAGTTTTTTAAAGTTAGTACGTTATCTAGAATTGTTGTTTATCTGGAGTACTCCAATACATAACCTAATAATTCCTAATACACTACACTCACTGCCACTAAGTGGATGCCAACTCGTAGCGACCCTAAAGACGGGGCAGAACTGCCCCTGTGGGTTTCCCACATGGTAACTTGTGCTGGGAACTGAAAGCCCGCCGCAGTTCTCCTGTGGAGCAGCTGGTGGTTTTGATCTGTGACTCTGCAGTTAGCAGACCAACTTTTCAGCACTGTGCCACCTGGATGCCTTAATTATCCCTAATAGCTTTGATAGCCTGAAGGGGGTTCCCCCTTCAAATGAAGTCCTTTGAGAAATACCAGGGCTATTTACTAAACAGTAGAGCTACTGGTTCCTCACATACCCTCCATCGAGGTTGGGACACCTCTGAAGGTGGCATTTCTGTCTCTCCAGCCTGACTGGGAAGAATTCTGCTCTGATTTAACCACGCCTAGCTGGCAGTTTTGGCATCTCCCAAGGACTGAACCTGTGTTCCTTTTCCATGTTCTTTGAGGTTAGGAAACAAAGACTTAAGTCTGAAGGGGCAAGATAGGGGCTGTAGGATGGATGGGGTAAGGTGTCCCCCCCAAGTTCCCCTAAGACAGCTTTTGCTATCCTTGAAGAATGAGCAGGTACATCAACTTTTTGGTAAGTAACCTAAGGAAACAGGACTTTGCAGATGTTTACAGTGTTGAATTACCTCTTGGCACGATGGGTTAAGCGTTGGCCTGCTAATCCCAGGGCTGGTGATTCAAACCTACCAGCGACTCCAAGTAGGACCAGTATGAACTGGAATCAACTCAATGACAATGGGTTTAGTTTTGGTTTAGTAATGTCTTGTTTAATAGGTTGCCTGGGTTCTAGAAAATTACTGAAAAGTGCATTATCCATTAACAGATCTTGTCAATGGAGTAACCAGAGGCAAGCTGAGAGTCCCTACATTGAACTCCATCTCATTTAACAGTGTGGAAAACCTTTCAATCATTCATGACACTTGGCTTGTCATACTTAAATAGTAAAATACCATGTTTCAAAGTAAACTTTTGAAGTATTATACGGAGAAACCTACGAGAACCAGAGCTCAGGGGAATGGCCTTGTTTTTCCTGCTTATGATCAGATTGACTGCTCTTTCTTTTACCTTACTGTATTTCTTTCTAAGGAAATGTTGGTGAAAATTTATGGAGTAAACCCACTTTCCATGCAACAGTCCCTACACACTGTGTTCCAGGCCATTGACTGCAGCATTTGCAAAGGGACAGAGCTGAAAAGGCAGGAACGGATGAGAGAGAAAGACAAGGAGCCCAGATATAAAAAATATAAATATAAAAATTAAATGCATCTTGAAGACTGCATTTTATGCAACGAGGGAACAAGGCAGGCGTCACAGCAAGCTCAAAGTCAGAAGGGCACAAATGCGTATTGTGTAAAAGGTGGGAAGTGACCAGGAGCAAATGGTTAACCAAGAGTCCGAGGCCACCCAACGGCAAAGGACTTCAGCCATCGAGGATCTAAAACAACAACATCCACCGCTCCAAACCACTCCAGCTTCCACGGTCCCTGCTCCAGATGAGGAGTCCTACCACCTAGCCGGCTCCCAGAGGAAAAATCAGAGGACTACAGAGGATTTGAGAATAGGGGTAAAAGGACACGTTTTCATGGTTAACTCATTAGTCACATCCAGGGTTTAAAGTTTAACTTGAAAGAGCTCAGCTTTCTACACACGGGTGTCATGGGTTCCAAAGCCTTTTTCAGCCAGGGCAGCGTGGGCGCGCAGGCAGCCAGCCAGCTTCCAGGCCAGACCTTGTTGCTCAGTTTCAGATCCTCGCCGCACACCTCCACGGTTCTGCCTTCTTCTGTGACTGGCTTCTTGCTATTGTCCTCTTCTCAGGAAGTACCAGGCAGTCCAGAAACCTAGGGGAGGGCTGTGTTTGGCACTTGCCTTTCCCTCACTCCCAATCCTGTGTCTCCATTATGTCCACCACTAAGCAGTCAATTCTCAAGTCTGCCTCGAAATGTCCCTCCTCTTCCCACCTCTCCCGGGACCAGCCTGGTCCAAAGCACCCAAGGTGCAGCCTCACTTCTAAGTAACATCCTGTCTAAACTTCCTCCGAGGCAGATTTGTTGTTTTTACTATAAATATTCCTTCCCCCCTTTGACTTTAAATCCCACGAGGGCAACAAAGAATTTCTACTTTGTTCGTTGCTATTCACAGAGCTCAGAACAGTCTCGCTCTCATTAACTCGCTGCCACTGAGTCAGTGCCGATGCCCAGCGACCCTGTGGGACAGGGTAAAATTGCCCCTGTGGGTTTGAGACTTTTACTCTTTATGGGAGTAGAAAGCTCCATCTTCCTCCTGAGGAGTGGCTGGTGGTTTCAAACTGCTGACCTTGTACTCCCAAGGCCACCAGACCTTCTCTGTTTCATAACCCAAAATATTGTGTAGTGAACAGATAAATTCACACGCTATTGGATGCTCACATTAAAACTAGTTGCCATGATACCACGAAAACACACTGGATCATTCCACGTTTATCTGGAAGTTGGAACTAGACGTACTGCAAAGCACATGAAAATTCAATGTCTAATCAAAATCATCCCTACCAAGAGTTCTAAAAATGATTCCATAGTAAGTTGGGGGGAGGGGGGGAAATCCACAGGATAAGCAGAGCTGTCTGATAAGCCTTAGTTCTTTGACCCTTACTACCCTCTACAAAAGTTGTTTTCCATAATGTATTAGAGAAGAGAGCATTTATTTATTATTAATCATTTTATTAGGGGCTCATACAACTCTTATCACAATCCATACATACATCAATTGTATAAAGCAGATTTGTACATTCATTGCCCTCATCATTCTCAAAACATTTGCTCTCCACCTAAACCCCTGGCATCAGCTCATTTTTTCTGTTCCCTACCCACTCCCTGCTCCCTCATGAACCCTTGATCATTTATAAATTTTATTTTATCATGTCTTACACTACCCGACGTTTCCCTTCACCCACTTTTCTGTTGTCCATCCCCCAGAGAGGAGGTTACATGTAGATCCTTATAATCGGTTCCCCCTCTACCCCACCCTCCCTCCACCCTCCCAGTATCGCCACTCTCACCACTGGTCCTGAAGGGATCATCCATCCTGGATTCCCTGTGTTTCCAATTCCTATCTGTACCAGTGTACATCCCCTGATCTAGCTGGATTTGTAAGGTGGAATTGGGATCATGATAGTGGAGGTGGGGGGGGAGGGAGAAGCATTTACGAACTAGAGAAAAGTTGTATGTTTCATCGTTGCTATGCTGCACTCTGACTGGATCGTCTCCTCCCTGTGACCCTTCCGTAAGGGGATGTCCAGTTGCCTCCAGATGGGCTTTAGGTCTCCACTCCGCACTCCCCCAGTCATTCACTATGATATCTTTTGTTCTGATGCTGCCTGATACCTGATCCCTTCGACACCTCGTGATCACACAGGCTGGTGTGCTTCTTCCATGTTGTTGAGAGTTTAGAAAATTATGCTGTCTTTTTACATTCATCATCAAATTTTGCCTTATATTTGACCCTGTGAGTACGGTTTATTGACTTATTTTTATTACTTAAGTATTTGTTTATTGACTTATTTTTATTACTTAAGTATTTGTGTATGTTTTATGACTGATATGCTTGTATGAAATTGTATTGGTACAATTTTAAGATGTGATGACTGAGACTAAAATAAATTTTCTAACACTGCCCTCAGGTCAGTCCAAAGGCCAACCTCCAATCATGGCAACGACCGCCGGGAGGGTCCGCGCGGACAGACTCATGGGTCACCGGGTTGTCAATGGCTGCTTCTTCAGTAGATGACCAGGCCTTTCTTCCAGGGCTCATCTGGATGCATTCCTCCCTCCTGGCTCTTGCTTGTTAGCAGCAACCCGTACTAACTGTTGTAGGGGCTCTGAAGAATAATACTCTCATCTTGTTTGTTTAAAGTACAAACATTGATCAATCTTTCCCCAAAAAAGGTCTGCTGATGCCCAGAATAGAGCCTCTCCTCTACCCAGCACTCCCTCTATTGATGGTGACACTGGAAATTTTAGCTTTGTTACTTCACACCATGGATTAGTAAGAGTGGCAGATTTATCCATTGTCAGTGCTGTGAAGCCTAATCAGGATAGAGAGCCATTTATCTCTCCGCCCTTCAATTAAACTGCCCGTCAACCAATCCCATGTATGTTCATTGGCCAGGTGGGCACAATAACCCTACCTGTCACAGACAAGCACCCGTACCTTGGTTGAGTTAGGCAGGACGTGTTTGTCAAGAAAGGCCATCACACAATGGTGTACAGCAGACGGGGACAAGCTTCAAGGATGGCAGTCTTTCACTTCTCCTACTATTTCTTCAGCACACAGCTGCCAGATAGGCTGCCCTCAACCTCTCTGACAGGCATGTAAGCATGTGCTGTGCCACGGGGCAGATGATGTCCTGGAATATACATGTGTAACAGCCCTCGGGCTCATGAGCATAGTACAAGCTGAACTTCCATACAGCGAATAATAAAAGGTGTTCTTCCTCTGCAGGGCTCCACTATGCCAGAAAGCTGGACCATAACCAAGTAAGTGGGGCTTAAGAACTTACTGGTGTGCCAAGGAGAAGCATTTGACAATGCACTTTTTTCTCTAACAAGAAAATATAGAGGGGACCGCGGCCCAGCTTAGGGAAATGAATACATTCTGGATTGCTCGATCAAGACAAATCACGCAATACGCCGAGTTAGCCTGTGATGTACAAAACTCTGATCTTAAGACAGGAAATAAAACAAGCGTCATGCAAATAAAAAAGGCACATGTAATTCTATAGTTAAATTTTTTAATAAACAGATTTTTTTTGATATAGGTATCTTGTCCAATCGCTTCTCGACCTTTTGGCTAAGATCAAGTGTAGGTATCTTGTCCATTATAAGGTCAAAGGTTAAAACTACTTAAACAAAACCCTTTTGGGTGTGAGCATATCTTCTCAAATCATAGGCATATTATATACTAATCAGAATGAAGTGTTTCTATATATCTGTCTATATGTATTGTGTTAGTCTGGGTAGACTAGAGAAACAAATTCACAGAGACTCATATGTGTACAAGAAACAGCTTTATATACAAGAGCAAGTGAATATTGAGAAAACATCCCAGCCCAGTCCAGAACAAGTGCATAAGTCCAATATTAGCCCATACTTCCAATACCAATCTATAAATTTCTCTTCATACTCACACAACACATGCAATGATGCCGAACGCAGGAAGATCACAGGCCGGTGGGTAGAGAGTCTTGTGGATCCAGTGGGGTATAAGCATCTCAGCGCTGGCAGGGGTCTCTACGTGGCTCCTCTAGCTCAGGGTACTAGCATAGCTCCATGTGTCTTGTCAACTGCAATGTCTCTCAGGGAGTGAGTGTGTATCTCACCTCTAGCAAGCTACTCATCTCCTTAACGCCTCCAAATGAGGTCATCAAGCTGCGACCGATTGACAGGCTAAACTCCAGCCCTTCACTCATAGTCTCAATTGACAACAGATTATCTAACAACCATATGTACACATACACCACCACCTCTCTGTAAGGTTGTTATCCTGTGGTGACTTGTGCGTTGCTGGAAGCTATGTCCCCAGTGTTTCAAACGCCAACAGGGTCACCCAAGGTGGACAGCTTTCAGTGGAACTTCTAACGGAGAAAGACCTATTAGTACCTACTTCTAAAGGTACACCAGTGGAAATCTGATGCATCCATTATTGTCTGAAACTTCAGCTTTCTTTGGATACACCATGAGGCAAAGGACACAATGTTTGATACAGGGGAGGGTTATGAATGAACCGCCCCCCCACTCATTGATGCGATGAACTGACACAACAGGTGCAACAATGGGCTCAAGCACAGCAAGTGTGAGGATGGGGCAGGACTAGCTAACATTTCATACTGCTATACATGAGGCCGCCACGAGTCAGAGCCAACGCAGCAGCAGCTAACAGTCAAAAGGTGTGTATGGATATACATACAATGGACAGCATACAGGCATCAGTATAAGCACATGTGGATGTATACACAGACACACATGCACCGTGTGTAAAACAGCAAGCAAGCTCTCATTGTTTTACTGTAGAACAGATGTCACTTCTGGGAAGGGCACAGGATGGCTTGATGATTCGTGCATGGAGCCGGGCACAAATCTGCTTGGTTCCTAGCTCCAAGCAGCTCCTCCCTGACTTGGTGTAAACTTACAAAGGATAATAACCTTACCTTTCTCCATCACCTGGCCTGCCTCCTAGGGTTGTTATGAGGATTTAAGGCAGGGGTCCTCAAACTGTTTAAACAGGGGGCCAGTTCACTGTCCCTCAGACCGGTTGGAGGGCCAGACTATAGTTCAAAAAAAAAAACTATGAACAAATTCCTAGGCACACTGCACATACCTTATTTTAAAGTAAAAAACAAAACGGGGCAAAAACACCCGGCGGCCTGGATAAATCTCCTCGGCGGGCTGCGTGTGGCCCGCAGGTCGTAGTTTGAGGACTCCTGATTTAAGGAGTTAAACATAGAGTTTACACCAGCCTGTCATCCCGTGAGCTCTGTGCAAACACCAGCTATGACTTGGTCAGAATCAGAGCTGAGATTCAGTCTTGGGGAAACTATGCAGACGATGGGTCTTGCAGGAGACCACCGACGAGGCACGATCCCACAGGCTGCTGTGCGACTTAACCAGCGGACACAAACAGCATTATAAAAAG